AAGTGTTTGGTGAACCAAAAATGATTCTGCCTAAACAAATAAAAAGGATATGCAATTGCAGGTCATATAGCTTTCTTCTTCTTCTTCTTCTTCTTCTTGTGGYTGTTGCTGTTGTTGTTCTTGTTGGTGCTGTGCACGTCGACAGCGTGGAGCACGGCTATGGCGCCCGGGTGGTTGTGGTCCTAGTTGTTGTTGTGGTTATTGTTGTGCAGGTCGACAGCGTGGATCACGGCTATGGCGCCCAGATAAGTGACGCAGGTGTGACCTCCGCCCCTCTTCTTCTTCTTCTTCTTGTGGTTCTGGTTCTAGTTGTTGTTGTGGTTGTTGATGTTGTTGTTCTTGTTGGTGTTGTGCAGGTCGAATTCAATTTTGGAGTAGAAAATGTAGAAGTGTTTGGTGAACCAAAAATGATTCTGCCTACACAAATATAAAGGATATGCAATTGCAGGTCATATAGCTTTCTTCTTCATCTTCTTCTTCTTCTTCTTCTTGTGGTTGTTGCTCTTGTTGTTCTTGTTGGTGTTGTTAACGTCGACAGCGTGGAGCACGGCTATGGCGCCCAATTGGTTGTGGTCCTGGTTGTTGTTATGGTTGTTGCTGTGCAGGTCAAAAGTGTTTAATGAACCAAAAATGATTCTGCCTAGACAAACAAAAAGGATATGCAATTGCTTCTTCTTGTGGTTGTTGCTGTTGTTGTTCTTGTTGATGTTGTGCACATCGACAGCGTGGAGCACGACCATGGCCCCCATGTGGTTGTGGTCCTGGTTGTTGTTGTGGTTGGTGTTTTGCAGGTTGACAACGTGGATCACGACTATGGCGCCCAGGTAAGTGACGCAGGTATGGCCTCCGCCCCTCTTCTTCTTCTTCTTCCTGTGGTTCTGCTTCTGGTTGTTGTTGTGGTTGTTGCTGTTGTTGTTCTTCTTGTGGTTCTGCTTCTGGTTGTTGTTGTGGTTGTTGCTGTTGTTGTTCTTGTTGGTGTTGTGCAGGTCGAATTCAATTTTAGAGTAGAAAATATTAAAGTGTTTGGTGAACCAAAAATGATTCTGCCTAAACAAATAAAGAGGATATGCAATTGCAGGTCGTATAGTTTTATTCTTCTTCTTCTTCTTCTTCTTCTTCTTTTTGTGGTTGTTGCTGGTGTTGTTCTTGTTGGTGTTGTGCACGTCGACAGCGTGGAGCACGACTATGGCACCCAGGTGGTTGTGGTGCTGGTTGTTGTTGTGGTTGTTGCTGTGCARGTCAAAGTGTTTGGTGAACCAAAAATGATTCTACCTAAACAAATAAAAAGGATATGCAATTGCAGGTCATATAACTTTCTTTTTCTTCTTCTTCGTTTTCTTCTTCTTCTTCTTCTTCTTCTTCTTGTGGTTGTTGCTGTTGTTGTTCTTGTTGGTGCTGTGCACGTCAAAAACGTGGAGCACGGCTATGGCGCCCAGGTGGTTGTGGTCCTAGTTGTTTTTGTGGTTGTTGTTGTGCAGGTCGACAA